GGAAGAACAAAGAAGAGATTCACAGGGTGTCCTCTGTAAGTTAATCTCGAAAAATTAAAACAAAAAGCAACACTCGAGTGTCATGATATTCTGGGAAATTTGGGTTCTTTTCAAATCTAGGTCACTGAGTCATTTCTATCAACCAACAGTTTCAACTTTCTCTTTACTTGCAAACATTCATAAAGACTTCACTAAATGCTGGTAATATTTTACACTTTGTCTTCTCCTCCCATTCATTCTGTTTCCGATTTTAATAAATTTTTTATCTGATACAAAGATTAAAATTATTCATATTAACGGGGTAATGTGATGCTCTGCTAAATCATCTAATGTTTAGATCAGGTTATACATCCCTCTCTCCTCAATATTTATCATTTCTCTAGGGTAAAAACTTTCAAATACTTTCTGCTACTTTTTGAAACGTGCAGTTCATGACTCTTATCATTAGTCAAGAAAACTGTGCACCGGCACACCATAGCCAAGCCTTCTTGCTCCTGTCTAACTGTAACCTCATACCTATTGATCAACCTTTGCCCATCCCCCGCCTCTAAGTCGGCTGTAACCACCATTCATTCTCCATGAAGAACCCAGTGAAGTCCTCAGAGGCCCCAATAGGTACAGGTAAAGAGCATTCTAGAAGTCCCAAGGGATTCTTCCATTGACACCTCTAAGTCTCAGGCACTATTTTGTAGGCAGGAAGGAATGAGACAACCCATGGATCTGTGTGTGCATACTGAGGTGGTGGGCGGATGGGGTGAGCCTAGAGAGATGAGTTCAAGTTTATTCAGAACAGCAAAATGGCACTGAGCTGGACTTGTAATGAGGGTAGGTTTTCAATGCAATAGAGAGTTGATTGAATTCCACCTGGATTTGTCCTGGATGCAGAGACTCGGAATGGGATCATTTTCCCTCTTTGCTCAGTACATAATTTAGATAAATCCCCAGACTCCAAAGTCACAGAAGTGCTCCAATAAAACAATTGAAATCTAAGAGTGACTGAGGAAGAAAAGCTTCCCTTCCAAGAGCTCCTTCATCTGAACATTGATGAGGCCTGGATCCTTCTAGAGAACTTAGGTTTTATATGTGTGCATGTGGGTCTGTAGTACATGTGGGTGTATGTGGTGTGTAATGTGTATGTGGTGTGTGTGATGTGTAGTGTGTAGTGTTTGTGTGATAGGTAGTGTGTGTGTGGTATGTAGTGTGCATGGGGTATGTAGTGTGCATGTGTATCTATGTGTGTGTTTACTGTAGAAAGACCTATTAGAAAGTTCTTGCATTCTCTTATTTCCTCAAAAAATAAGATCACTTTCCTGACATTAATTAACTTTAGAAAAATTCTGACCAAGATTCTTTTGCACAAAATGCTGCTCTCTATTAATTTCCTATCATGATTTCTTAGACAGAGAGCCCTGTAATGGAAAAAGTGTCTCCCCTCCAGCACTCATTGATCATGGAGGCTATCCAGAGAAGGGAGAAGAAATTGACATCTTTCCACAAAGGTTATTAGTTTCTGTGTTTCAAGAATGCAGTATTCATGGCTCGATCATAAACCATTACATTTCACTAGTCTTTATTCCATGGTGTCAAAATAAATAGATGCAAGCACTGAAAATACTCATGCCAGTAAGGATGTTACTAAAAGATCTGTGAAGGGGATCTAATCACAAGGTCCATGATAGCACACCAGTTTTTTATTAGCTTTACGACAGGTTTGCTGCTACTTCCCCAGTAAAAGAATTTAAATTGAAAATTGAGTGATCCCTAATGGGACTGGGGCTTGGTTGCCGAACTCTGTCACCAGAGATGGCCGGAGCTAACGGGGGGAACACGTGGTGAAAATTGGCAATGATCAGGAGCACCTGTCCCCTCTGTGTCTGTAACACAGCCCTCTAGTCTTTAAGCACAAATCTGTCCACTGGATATTTTTCATAGAATCTAAGTGTTTGACCTTGCCCTCTTGTTTTACGGGTAAAGAATTAAAATAAGAGGCTCAAGTTTGTGCAAAGGAAAGGACACAAGTCTCTCATTAGTTGAACACCATCTGTATATTTGATGGTGTTTAATTGACAATGGCCCTAACATTTTAGCTTTTCAATTGCTTTGTCAACTGGTTAACAGTCTGTAGCTGTGCTGGTCAGCAGAGCAGCCACAACCACACAGGCTATTGAGGACTTGAAGCAAGTCTGGCTAAGCCAAACTGAGACTTCCTAAGTAATGAGACTGAGCATGGAGGAAGGAAAAAAAAGATAATATCTTACAGGTATTTTGTATTGACTACATCTTTTTGTTTTTTGGTTTTTTTTAAGGGCAAAGGGGTAGGTGGACACAATATCTTTATTTCATTTTTATGTGGAATTGAGGATCAAACCCAGTACCTCATGCGTGCTAGGCAAGCTCTCCACAACTGAGCCCCAACCCCAGCCTTTGACTACATCTTTAAATGGTTATTTTTGATGTACTGGGTTAAAGGAGATATATTATTTAAATTAATTTCCCCTGATTCTTTTTACTTTTCTAATGTAACTAACAGGACTCATTCAATTATTCATGTGGCTCACACATTTTCTATTGGACAGCACTGGTTTATAGGAAAACACTTCACTGCACTGAGAAAAGGGCTACAAGAAATCTATTTCCAGAATTTGCTAGTGGCAAGAGCAAACAAGAGAATGAGAGTATATTTGTTCTGACAGTTTTTTTAAAGACCTCTTCTTACCTGATCAATGAGGAGACTTGCAAGCTACACAATAAAAACTAAAGCATTATTTGAAAGCAGTTAAATAATTTTAAGATTATGCTCAAATATATATGCACTTGTTAATAAACTTAAGTTTTTAAAGGAACATCAACAATTTGGACAACATGAAAACCATCATCTTCTCTCTTAGAGCAGCTGTTTCCTGCAAAAAAAAAAAAAAATCATAACCCAAACCAAGTAATGTCATGTAAATCAGTTCATGCCTGAAAGAGACATCTGTCCATAGTTAATACTCATACCAGAAAGATAGATGGTCAATAGAAAGATCCATCCACCTTGTGAAGGAAAATAGACAACAATGATTATATGAATTCTAAGTTACAGGCCAACATGAGCAAAATTTTCTCTTAAAATCTCTGGCTGGCAACCTTCTCACCCGAGACAACCAAATGCTCCCCTTGGTCTCAAAGAAATTATTTGGTGCAAATGTACTGCATTCATCTTGGGGAAATGATGATTTTTGCCTAAATCAATAGATTAATTTCTAATAGATCAATCATGGCCCCCAAATTAGAAGAATGAACAATATAGTCTTATCATAACCAGTACAATTTCTTCTTAATAACTTGTATGATTTTTCAAAGGTTTTAATTGCTCATTGAGATGGGTGTCATTTACTGCTGAAATAATATATTTCTCACGAAGCAATAAGCGATGTGTGGATGGGGAAAACAGCAGTCTCTCAGGGTGAAATGGCTTTGCTGAGATGCTGGGTCTCTAGCCAGTTGCTAAAGAGTACTCCTTGAGCTTAGTGTTCACTGTGGTTGCATCTCTTCTTAGGAAAAACTCTATTAAAAAAAGTAATGAGGAAAGATTCTGAAGGCTTCTGTATGAACCATGAACACATAACTCCCATCTGCAGGACAGTAGGGCTGAGCAGCAATTCTGTGCTTGCTTTGGTACAGAGAAAGCAAACTCCCTTCTCCTCCCCACCTCCTTCCCGGTGTTCACCAGGGAACATCACCCCCATTACCAAATTAAATGTCATCTTTTAAATAGGATGGAAAGATTTCCTGGTCCTTGTATCTTCTATTTCTCTAAGATGAACTGAAAGTCTTCCTTTAGCTCACAGGGCCGCCTGCATATCCAGAGATAGGATAGACAGCATTGTGGACAATTTGCAATTTCAGGCAACAACCAGGGGGAAAAAATAGTATGATTTCCCTACAAATTCATTACATTTATTCTAATTTTATCTTTCGCTTTTCTCTCCCTCCCACTCCACCTCTTCAAATCCAAATGCCGCTAGAAACCAAGTACATTTGGACTGATTTGGAATGTAAAACGCTCCAACCTTTTATTGCTATCTAGAAAATATCCTTTAAAGTGATATTTTTTAAAGTTGGGCTTTTTTGGAGGGTGGGGGGTGTTTTGTTTTTAATGTCAAACCAGGAAAGTTCTGATACGCTAGACTAGCTTCTCACAAGCACAGGGGGCTGTTTAAAAGATAACAGGGGTCAGTGTGCAAAACAAATTCCTAAGGAAGACCAGCTGTGTCACTGCCCCTTAAGCCCTGAATTCCACCATTCAAGGATGGAGCAGATGATTCCAAAGCTTCTAGCTCAAAAAGTCTCTCAAACCTCCACAGTATGCGAATTGGAGTTTTTAAAGGAGCAAAGGGACACTGTATTCCCAAGCGGATGATGTGTGGAGATGCCCACGCTGGGAAAAGCCAGCAACACTTGCAGGGGAGCCTGGAGCTGTGGGCAGTCACCGTCATCTGAGGGGAAATCACAGTCTTACAACTAAGGACTAGATGCAGCGCCTTGCCTGTCCTCAGCTCTTACCAGTAGATACCTTGGAGCATCTTCTTTTAAAAGACACATAATCAAATATTTAGACAGGTCCCAGCCAGGGACACGAAGTGGTCCAGAATGAAAACATGCCCCCCCCCCCGCGCCCCCGCCTTTTGCATTTTTCTCACTTGGGATCGCATCTTTGGATGACTTTCTGTAAATGCATTAAAATCAACTTCCAACAACAGAAACACACCTGCAACCACAGAATTTTCAAAAAAAAAAAAACACGGTAACTCCTGTTTTGCAAGGAATCCCCAACAATGTGCAAGATACAGAATTTCCTTTTCCTTTTGCAGAAACGCAGCTTGCTTTCCCCACTACCCAACTTCAGTATTTAAAGACTGATTCGCCCACCCAGAGAGTGGTGATCCCGCGTCAGTGGCTAATGCCCAAGCCGCGGTAGCCCCCGAGGGTGCAGGGAAGCCTCGGGAGAAATCGGTTACCTGGGGAAGAACACAACTCCGCTCAGAGCTTCCTCGGGCTCAGCTCGCGCAGGACAGGCAGCGCCGGGTGAGCGGATGCGGCTCCTTCCGAGGCTGGAGCAGTGCGCTCCCGCCCGCAGCCGTGACGACGCTGTCAGCTGCTGTCCCGCCCTGCGCCCTGCGCCGCTCCAGCAGCCCCGCACCTGCGCTGGCCCGAGCCTGCCGCCTCGCGCGTCACCACCCTTGCACCGTCCTCCTCCCGGCCTCCCTGCCTCCTTCGCCCTCCTCAATCTCTTGAGTCGTGCCAAGGCTGCAGCGGCAGCTGCTCCTGCGTCAATGGCGCCTGCTCGCCTCCAAAAGAGCTTGTAGGTGCCACCTACTGCATGCTCCTGGAATCGACGGCGAGGACTGGAATTTTCTGAAAATTCAATGAATTAAAATAATTTCATTGAAAGGACACCCTATTCTTTTGTTTCAGATTGCTTGCATTCCCAGCTAGAATCACTGCTAACCACATAAGACTTTCTTTCAGTTTGCACATACTAAATTAAAAACCTCCTCATTTCCGAGCCAGACCAAATACCCTGCCCCATAGCCAACCAGACAGCACAGATTAATAGACTCTAATTTAATAGGATCCTATGTCCAAAACCGCCATTGGCAATCTTGGGTTAGAATTGCTTTTTCGCTGAGGGGTTTTTACATGAACGTTTCAAGGAAATAAGCACATTTATTTTTCTGACATTGAAAAACAATTTTGTCAAAGAACCACTGATCAAAAAGGTGAATCAGCAAAAAATAAAAATAAAAAAAGATGTATGGTTAACAATTCTGTACAGGCATCTTTAAAAATGTTTGACAATAACATCGATCCATATTAAATTTAAGACTCAAGGATGAAGATTTCTTCTCCCACTTATATTGTTCGTTCTTTTGAAATATCAAATGCACTAGGAGAATTGAGCAAAATCCACATTTTCTTGTTCTTTCAATTCGGTTTAGCTTACCTGTTCTGACACCCTTTTGACTTCCTTTGTAATTTCCAACAGCATTAGTCTTTGAAGTGCATTTCCAAAGTAAATTTCTGCCCTGCTATCCACAAAAAAAAAAGGTATGTGTTTTTTTTTTTTTTTAAATCTTGCTGAAGAATTGTGCATTTTACTATTTATCATTCAAAAAAGATTTATCTTGTGCACTAGGTTAGCATAATTCTGGCCTTGGGTTTATGGCCACTGGAATATGTAAGTAAAGATACACCATTTTTTACCAAAGTCATTTAAGACTATTGTCAACACATCTACCCCTATTTTAATGATGCCTGAAAACAGGGTCGTCGTCCCCCCCCCCCCCCCCCGCCCCCCCCCCCCCCCCCCCCCCCGCCATGTGCCCTCTCTTCAGGAAAGCCCTCCCAGGGGACGGTCTGCATATGCTGACCATTGGTCTGGACACTGCCTGCTACTGTTTCTGAGATCTGAAACAACATCCAAGCTAACAAGGCAGGATGTTGTCTTTCCATGACCACCAAAATGTAGGTTATTGGGTTAAATGATAAAATGGAATTTGAAGACCAAACAGAGGAGGGTGAAAAGATTAAAGAGATGAAAATATTGAAGGCAAGAAGGCCTTTCCAGCATCGAATTGGAGAACAAAGACCTGGAGCTGAAGGGAGCCCTTCTATTCTGCAAATCCCACAAGCAAAAGAATCCAGCCATTTGCAGTACAGCATCATAATTTGTTCTGAGAATGTGAAACAAGGGCCCCCAGAGACCCTTTAAACAAGAAACAGCTCACTTGAAATGATGTCCCTGGCCTCTTGGTCATTTGCTGGGAGCCCTAAACTTTCATCAGCCATAGGAGCAGATTGTTCCCAAATTCCTCCTTTCTCTTCCCCTTAACTTATGTCCTCCTAAGAGCCTGCCCCATTTGCTTCTAGACTAGGAGCTCCTAACATCTGGCTGCACATTAGGATCAGCAGGGGAGCTGTAAATGAATTTTAAAGCCAGGATTAATTTCCAGCCCAGTCCATGACACAATTGGATCAGAACCCCTGTGGGTGGGACCCAAGCATCCAGATATAAAATCATGATTATAGGTGAGGTTGCTATGGTCTGAATTCACACACTGAAAGTCAGACCCTGGAAAATCTAATCACCAATGAAATGGAATGAAAAGCAGGAAGGCCTTTGGGAGGGTACGGATTAGTGCCCTCCTAAAAGAGGGCCCAGGGAACCGCCTCTGTCTTGCCCCACATGAGGGCACAACAGTCAGGCGCTATCTTTGAACTGGGAAATAAGCCTTCACCAAGCATGGAATCTCAGATCCTCAGCTCTTGTGTGTCCCAGCCTCTGGAACTGTGAGCAATGAATTTCTGTTGTTTATAAGCTACCCAGTCTATAGTATTTTGTTAGAGCAGCCTGGAGGAAAACAGAAGTCAAGGCCCAGAAGCATTGCACTAATGTAGAACCTTATACTCAAAGCAGAGCTGTGGGTCTGCAGCATCACCTTACCCAAACTCATTAAGACAACAGACTTTTAAACCCCACCACGGAAATGGATCTTGGAATCTGACTTTAACAACACTCTCAGGAGATTTCTAGGCCTGTGAGATGGGGAAGAGCTCCATACTAATATCTTTCAAATGTTAGCCTCAACTGAGTCACCTGGGTTGGAAGGGGGGCTAGGCCACACCTCCAGATTCTCAGATTCACTAGGCCTGGAGCACAGTGCCAGGCAATGTTGCTGAGAGCAGGATCCAGGTGATGCATAACCTGGTAGCAAATAGTAACGGGATTCTCACTGCCCAAATGGAAGAAGCGTAACTGCTCCATTTTCTAAGGCAAATAAAAACTGGCTCAGCCAGTCAATCCAGTGTCACTGGTTTTGAAGCAGGCCTGTCCTTCGCAGACTTACACCTGCCCTAGGGCCTTTGGGTGGTTGTGAGAAGAGCCTCCTTCAGCCAGGTTCCCACTTTGCTCTTAGAAGCATGCCAGCTTACACTTGGCTTATGATCAGATTAAAAGAAGTCCCCTCTCTGGATGGAGGCTATCCCTCACCACACCAGACAGGGCATGCTTTGAGGGGCAGAGGGCCCCTGGTGCAAATAACTTTCTTGGGCAGGTGCAACCCACTCTAGGTGCCCTGTTTTAGGGGCAGGGGTATGGGTTGAGTCCCAGTCCCAACCCTGCCCTCTGCTAGACATCTTTGTGCATGGCACAAACTGCCCAACCCCCAACCTTACATATCATCCCCGCTTCCCCATCAGTCTATGTCAGGGATGGCGGTTCCATTTATGTCCTGGGGCCACAGAGTACCAGTCAGAACCGAATGCTGACGTCAGGGGCCCAAACTGAGGGAGAAAGTGGGAGCCCCACCCATTGGCCTCTGAGCAAGTGAACATGTAATGGATGAAAAGATACCTTGTGTTCGTCAGGGGTGTTGCTGCCTTTTTTCCACTAAGACAATGAATGGTTGTGGGGACCAGCAGTATCAGAACTGGAGAGAGTTGGCAGAAATGCACATTTCACCTCTACCCTGGACCTACTGACTTAGAAATTCTGAAGGTGGAGCTCAGCATTCTGCAATATTTTGTAAATAATTGTGATTCTAATGCACAGTACAGTTTTGAAATCCATTGCCCAAGATGTGTCTTTGTATGATTTATATTTTTGACAAATGCCATGTTAACATATTTCCTTTAAAGTTGTCAAAAAGATACCATCTTGATAGAGTTTGCTCAGGGGAGTAATTCAGGCCACCCCCGGTGGTGTTTCGGGTAGTAAAGATGTGGCAGATTCTTCCAGTATCACAATCATTGTCTATGCAGCCATCCCTTCTAAGATGCTACCATGTAAGGGTGGAGCTCAGGATTCTGCTCCCCTGGGAACACCCCATTTCCAGCAATCCAGATGTTCCCTTCCCTGGGGTGGCCCAGGTCTCTCTTTGCCTTGAACTCCAGTTCCCATATTCTGCCCCGTAAGATCATTCTGGCTTAATCCCCAGAGGATCCAGACCCTGCAAACCAAGATCTCAGCCTTCAATGGCAAAAAGCTTTGCAGAGTTTGGAGAGAGAAAACCCAGGCCTAAAACCATAAAGCCTTCCTCCAAAAAGTAGGAAGAAAATGAAGCTTTGCTAAGACTTTTGTCCATGAATTCACTGGCCCTCAAATAAGAGCTCTCTTCGGATACAGCTTGGGAGCACCCCTGGAATTTCTCACTGTAGGTGTTTGCAATCAGGGACAGTATCTTCAGCAAAGGACAATGCCCAGGGAAGAAGTTGGTGAAAGATTCATGTAGAAGTACTCCTCCAGCAATGAGCTCAGTCCTGACTGATGGCCGAGGGGTGGGCGACAGCAGTCTAGATTGACATCAGTTTGTTGCAAATGAAGAACCTCAGAGCTAGGTCTCTTTGCAAAGAAGAGAAGGTTCTTTGTTATCCACTGATTTTCATCTTGATTCTGTATTTCTAATTACCCTTTGAGGCTCTCTACATACACTAACTGCTTTTAAGTCTATTGAGCTTCTCGGTTGTCTTCTTCCTCTCCTCCTTTGGTGCCTTGTGTACCCCATTAAGGAGGAGGCCCCATGTGCTAGCTATCTGTTCTTAATCTTTGCAGCTTACCCAAGCTCCACAGATGCTAAAGCTGACATCTGTTCTCTGTAATCTCAGAGTTTCTCGTTGCAGCCTTATGTAAGGTTGACCTAGTTCTCATGGTCCACTCAAAATATTAGCAAACACACTGATGATTATACACATGAAATGCAACTCTGTGTACCTACAAGTCCCTACACGCCCCTGGGTCCAGCTCAACACACCCCTCTTGTTTACTCCCCCAAGTCATCCGCTGTACCCTCTGCAATGCTTTACCTTATTCATCAAATCCCTCTGACATTTGAGCTTCCTGATGGAAGGGTCCACCAACCACTTTCCCTAATCAGAAGCTGAGATCTCCTTCACCCTAATGAATGGTTTCTTCTGGGTCATGTCCTCCCCTCCCAGCAGGAAAGTGCTACCTCTTCTTTGTCTTGCCATCATCTGCCCATCCTTGGGTCTGGTGGTCTTCTTCTCCACCGGATCCAGGGCCAC